CCTAAAATCAGGCAAGAGGAATCCCACCTGTACCATCTGCTTTTCCCACAGACTCTGGCACAGCGAAGTAGAGCAATGAACTTGTCTGCAAATCTGACCCCAACACAGATTTTTAACTGCCTTATCCAGATTAGACCCAACCAACAAACCAAACATGGTAGGAACTCTCCTGCTGACATTAATGGGATTGGGATGAAGCCTGGAAATTTGGCAGCATTTCTTGCCTCATTAAATAAACCCCTCTTGGTTGAGGATTTGTTGCAAACACAGTCAAGATTTGTTACTTTAAAGAGAACTTTTGAGCTGACAGCCCTGGGAAGCCATTCAGGCAGAATTAACAGGCACATGTACAGATGCACAGATGTACAACCATTTTCCTTCCCTAAAATGCAAAACTGTTTTTCTTGGCATGCAAAACACTCTACAACAAGAAAGTACCGCTATCAGCAGCAGCTAAATGCACTGGGCTCAATTCTGTTTAATTCTTTATTTCACTTTGCACAGATTTCTAAAAAGAGACTAAACACATTGCGTTTCCAAGGGCTTTGTGTTTCCAGAGGCACCCAGCAAAGCAAAGGGGCGAGAGGCTCCCGTGTGCGAGCGGTGGGGAGCGGGAGTGAGCAGCGAGTGCCACAGGAGCCGCAGAGACTCCCTGAGTTCAGCCAAACGATCGCCAGGGCTTCTTTACCAGCTGCTGGCTGCAGAGGTACCAGACATCAGCCCGCTGGGGTGGGAGGATTTGCCCCCAGCCGTGAATACAGAGTTCACGGCGTGTGATACACGGCCTCTGGCTGAAATCTGGCTCTGACCGAGCTGCCCACCTCACTTCAGGGGGGTTGGTATTGCTAAACAAGCGTGGGTCGTCTGCCCTGTGCTAAAAACATGGGCTCATGCACTTGTGTTGGAGACTTCCCCAGCCTGGGGCAGCGGGAGCTGCTGCTCAGACAAGGGCGGCGGGTGCTGCGGGCTGAGACGCTGCGTGGGGTCCCTGCCGTGCAAACAGGGCATCTCCGTAACGCGAGAGCCCCCAGGCCCAGGCGGAGGTGTGAAGACCACGTGCAAAGCCGCAGGAGAAGCAGCGTGAGCAGGAGGCTCCCGCAGGTCTCGGGTCCCTGTTACTCCGGGCACTGGGCAGCGGGACTTTGTGGTGCATCTTTTACGGCGTGGTGGGAGGCCGCAGTGCGCACACAAAAAGGGATGAGTCACTCAGGTCACTAATGAAAGGTCACAGCATCCTCGGATTCAGCGAGAGGCATTTATTTCTTCAGCAAAACAATTTCATTGCTGAAGTACCTTTGGCTACAGGGACAACAGACCTGACAGGTTATGTTATTTACCAAGGATATCGATCAGGCTGGGGAAGGAATAGTAGATGCAATTACTCCAGGTGACCTGGGAAAAAATGGTAAGTATACCTGGGACTGGGTGCCGTTGGTGAAGATTTTAATAAAAGAAAAATCTGAGTCTTTGTCTATGCTATGCAGAGTGTTTTGGCATCTGGGAGACCAACAGCTTGTGAAGAAGAGCAAATCACATAAATAGAATAACATTTAGTATGACTGTGTGAGGCCATCAGTCTAATATTATTCCTGCAGTGCACGCAGTTATAAATAGGTGATGCCATGTAGCGTGGGACCTGGGGAGAGCAAGAGCTGCGGAATGCGCTTGCAGCTCAGCGGCAGTGGCACTGCGCAGCGTGCAGCAGTAACAGGCATTTGTATGTGCGTTACAGAGCGACTGCGGCTGCACCCTGCAGGCAGGGATGTGTCCTGGAGGACTTGGTGAGCCCAGGCTAAAGAGAGATATGCCGTTTTTCAGACCATCCCTCCAAATATTCCCCCGCGGCAAGCCCTCTGCGCCCCTTGCCATCAGTGCTGCTTGTTGCTTGAAGCGGGGAGGTCTGCAGAGAGAGCCAGGCAGCGAGGAACCCCTGTGGTGCTCTGTGCATCACGACCTGTGCTGGACACTATAGATTAAATTCCTCCTAACACCTCTGCTCTGCCCCAACCAGGAGATGCTCAGGTCGGATCCTACTCCCTGAAGAGCCCTTCGTGCCACGGCGCAGCCCAGCCAGCATGAAATTCTTCTGCTTGTTTGGGCTCATGGGTAAAACGTTTACCCTAAGGAGCATCAGAAAGCTGCCAGGCTTCTCGGTAGCACCGCGGCTCCTCCTCGGAGAGGCTGCTTCCATGCTGTGCAGAGGACATCCAAGGACAGGAGGCAGATTAACTCCATCCTGGCTGCCTTCGCTCTGATGTGGAGTACCGCTCAGTGGAGGTGGGGGAAAACCTCACGCCACAGCTCCCAGTCAGGTCTTGCCAGCCCAGACCGCCCTGCAGCACCGCTGTGCCTCTGGTCCAGGCTGTCTGGGGTGAGAAGGGCCCATGGCAATGGGAAGCTGCTGGCCCAGAGGTGAGCTCAGGGGTAGGCTTGGTGGCGGTGACACGAAAAGCCAAGCACTCTCACTGAATTAAGTGTTACTTGGTTGCAGAGGCAAAAATCCCCCTATAAAAGAGTGCACGATGCTGGGATGGCAACACGCTGCCGTGCTGAGAGCTCAGAGGAGCTGGGATGCGGAGAGCCCTTGGCATGCAGCTCATCTGGGTGCCTGGGGCTGCCCTAGACCCCAGCGGGTGTGCGATACCCAGCAGATGCTGCAGCCTCCCCAGGGCTGCTGGGGGAAAGCATCTTTCCGCCTGCACAGCAGAAACAACAGTCCCATCACCGTAGCCACTACCCCACTGCACTGAGCTGGGAGGTGGGAAGAGCTGCGGCAGGTCTGCCCCAGGGCCACCTGCAGAACAGAGACACCAGCAGCACAAGGTGCACAGGGAAGGAGAGGGGCCCTGCGAGCTGAAATATTAGGGAGAAGTCTGTGGTTTAACCCGTCTGTCCACGGGGATGAGCATGAGCTGTCTCTCCATGGCTGGATTTTGTGGCCACAGCTGGTGGTGGAGGAACCAGTCGCTGGGTGGGTCAGTGCCTCTTCCCCCTCCTGGCCGGGTCTCCATTTCATAACTCCTCATCCCCATATTTACTGCCGGTAGCTCCGGTTAGCCCCAGTGGGAGCAAACCCAGCAGCACAGAAGGCAAGAGGAGGGTTTCTTTTCCTTTCCAGTGTCTCACGGGTGAAGAGCAGAGGGTGATTCATGGAAGAACCCGAGTAGCAGACTCAGCCTGGGAGTACGGGGCAGCGTCCTCTCCCAAAGACACAGCACAGGGATGAATGATGGACTTGCAGTTGCAGCAACACCTGCAAGTCCCAGGCTGGGAGACAGCTCGCAGCTCTCAGTCCTCCTACATAAAGGGGAGTTCTGAAGCCAGAAATCCAAAAACGGCCATGCCCTGAGTCTGTTGCCTGGCCCCGGGTGGAGGTGCCCTGGGTGGATATCCAGAGAAGCATCATCCCCTGTCACTGCTCCGCCTCAGGTCCCACCCCAAGAAACATTCAAAACAAGGGACCTAAAAGTTAGCTAAATAATTCTGAACCCAGAGAAGCCTCCGGTGTGTTTTCTCGTTTACCTCAGGTGGTTTGCCTGCCTCCAGTAAAGCCCAGTGTTAATTTGATTCCCTATAACCGATTCACAGCAGATCTGGCGTCCTGATGCCCGGAACAGCTGTGATTCCTGTGCCGCCGTTTGCTCTGCCCCAGGGACACCGCACAGCCCCTGAGCGTGGCTGGAAAGAAAGGACCGGAGCTGGAGCAGGGCACAAACAGCTGGGCCAGGCCCACACAGGAACATCTTTGCATTTGCAATTCAGAGAGGATATGTCTCATCTCCCCAATTAATCCTTCTAGAGCAAAGCCTGGAGAGAAGCAGCTGGAAAATCTCCGCATACAAACAAGACTTACTAAAATCTGCAATTCTGAGGTAGAGGAAGAAATATGTCCCCAGCACAGTGCTTTCACCGCAAGAGAAAACAAATATTTTCATTTTGTTGTATTCGTGCCCCGCCGGGAACCTGCTGTGCTCTCAGGCATGGCACAGCTGGGAGCGTTTTCACAGGGCACTTTGTAGCTCCCTGGGCTGGGAAATCACTTGTGGTCCCAAAGCTGGAGCCGCTTCTGGCTGGGGGAGGCTGGTGGCCGGGACCAGCCTGTGGAGCATCGCTAGCAGGGAAAGAAAAGTGCATCTCGATGGAATCAAACGCTGCATCGAAATAAGTTGGTGCCTGCCCGGGAAGCGCAGTTGGCGTCTCAGCACCGGTTCCCTGAGCTCCAGAGGCAGAACAGGAAAGGGCATCTTGAGTTTTACTACTAAATGCACTTTTCCCCAGTTGAAGTGCTGGGGCCAATTTCTTTCCTACCGGGTTATTTTTAGCATCGAAATGAGCCATTTGCTGTAAACTGTCTGCCTGGGAAGCGAAGCCCCGGGGCAGCAGACAGCGCTGCCGCAGCTCCCGCACCACGAGGTCACCGCTCCGGCTGCCGGCACGGCCAAATCTCACCCGGAGCATGGCTCAGCTCGCCGGTGGGATGGGAGCCACCACCGTTCCTCCCTCAAGCACACCCAGGCAGGCACGCACACGCACGTGCACGCAGCATGCCAGAGCCCATCGCTCGTCCAGGGGTGTCCCACAAGAACCCTACAGAGGTTCAGGACCTTTCCCGTCCCCGCAGCGCAGTGCCGGCACGGCAGGGGCTGGCCTTGCAGGACAGGGGCGAAGCTGTCACCGGAGCACCCTCTGCAAGAGCCTCGCATATTTGCAATTCATTCCCAGAGCCTTTGGCCACCCACCCTTGACCTTCCTGGCAATCCCGTGGGCTGTGATGCAGGAAAGTCATTTATAGCATCGCGACGCTGCCATGGCGAGAGCAGAGGCACGCTCAGGATCAGGCCCTGCTCTCCATTTGGCCAAGGGTTTGACGTGGCCGTGTTTCTATGGTGAGTCTGCGGTCGTGGCTGTGGCAGCTCATCTCCAGATTAATCTTCCCAGAAGCAAGACCTTTCTCCAGAAACATTCCCGTCCTTTGTCACTGGGTCCAGTAGCTCCTCACTGGGACCAGCCCACCTCAGCACCACAGAGTCTCCCACCCCTGAGCCCCAATCCAAACTGGTTTCCAGTTCTGATTTAACAGGCTCTCAGCAAATATTTCCACAAATTATTAAGCGGGGGCATTACTATTTTATCTTATTATTTTATTATTAAAGCCAAGATCCTAAAATCAAATAAATGAACCAACTGAAGTGGCTGAGATCAAGAACTTGCTAAAGCAGAGCAGCACCTTTCCCGTTTGGTTGCGGTCCAGGCACTTTATGGCAGGTACTTTGTGCCTGGCTGATGTTCAACTGACAGCTTTCCAAGCGTATAAAAAACTTATTAGGCTGAAAATAGAGTTTGTGACCATAAACTGTCAAGAGCACTGTCAGCATTTCCAGCCCAGGTCTGCTTCGTCTACAACCAACGGCAGGTCAGGCTGCTGGTGGGAGCAGGGGTGGGGAGGACGGGGCTGTGCGGCCCCTTGCAGGACCCGTTTTGGGTAGGAAAGCTCACAAATGGGCTGTGGGGCATCAGGAGGGGACACGGCTGAGGTTTAGCATGGCTGGTACCAGGCAAGGTGGATGAAGACAGTCATATGTGGAGCTGTGTCCACCTGCCCTGGGGTTTGCAATCTCCAAGCCACATCCATGGTGACCACGCGGAGGCAATCTGCATTTGCAACCGGTTTATATCCAACGCTCCATTAATTCCCTCTCTGAGCTTCCACAACGCAGAGCAAAGCGCCTGCAGCCATCTGAGCTACAAAGAGTCAGGGAGGGAGGCAGCGGGGAAATCCCAGAGCCGAGAGAAACTGTGAGGTTCCCGAGCCTCCAGTAACCCCGTGCGTGACCTGTAGGACAGGGACAAGTTAGCTCTGGCTGGCAGGAGGATATTTTACAGGAAGATTTATGGAGTCATGGGGCAGAAGCAAACACTGCTACGTGCAGCCTGGATCCGGTCAGGGACTCTGTGTCCGCAGAAGAGGGCATCGCCGTGTCCCTCGCATGGAGAGGAGGGATCGCTCCCGGTGCCGCCTGACCTGGGATAGCCGGGCAGTGCGCTCCTCTGGGCAGCTGCAGCTGGTTGTTATTCATATCTCGGCATCTAATCCTTTTTTGAAATAAACTAATCCATTGCTTTAAAAATATCCTGTGGCATTGCAAGGCTATAATCTCAGTATTAAATGGCATTAAAGCCAGAATAGCTGATGCTTTTACTGAGGCAAAAGAAAACATCTATTTGTTCTCTAAAAATAACCGAAAGAAGCAGAGCATACCAGGAGAGTGCCTGAGCCCCTGTTGTGGCCGAAACCTGTGGAGGGTCTGACACCTGCCAGAGCCCACCCTCAGCCCTGGCTGCCACCCGGGGGTGGGTGGGCAACGCAGCCGGAGGCGCGACGGCAACCGGCACCGCACGTCCTGTTAACACTGAGCCCTTTGCTCGGGGACCGGGAGCCGTCTGCGCAGACCGAGGCGACGGCGATGCCCGAAGCAGCTTGAGCAGAGCCGCCGGGATGCTCCCACTGCTCCCCACATACGTCGGGCAGTGGGACCGACTGAAACTGACCCACACGGCTGGTCCCTATTTAGCATCCTTCATCTGAGACCGTTAAGCAGCTTTGCTTATTTCAATCCATTAGAACTAGAAAAGCTTTTTAACAAATTCCCAGCCAGCCTGGAATTAGTAGATGTGGGCCAATTAGACACATTAATTAGGCGCTGGTTTAAACACAGATGAGGTTTGACTTTGTTTACCAACCTCGGAAGGAAGCAGGTTCTCAAAGTTCACCTCCAAAGGGCTGAACAAACAATCAAGGTACGTTCGTTCCCGGTCACAAGCACCTTAAAACAGAAACATATCACTTCGACTTCTATTTTGTTTCCAGAGCTCTTGCTTTCTCTCTGCCTCCCCATGCAATAAAAATGAGACATTTAATCTCATAATGCAACTTCTCACTGGAAATCAATGATAAAGTACATTATCTTGCCTGGCCCGATCCTGCGGCTCCAGCCTGACCTTTCTCAAGCGCAGTGAAGTCAGGGGAAAGACAAAGGTTGAACTGAAGGAGCTTCCCAGTGGGAAAGCGTGAAACTGGGAGGGACTGCCCTGCACAACAGCGATCTGACACAGTTTGGTCTCGCTCGTGCCCCCGCGCTCGCTCCATGCAGGAAAAAGCAGTGCATGAGCAGTGAGACCGCGGAGCAGGCTGATTTCTGCATCACCTTAATGATGAGGGCTACGACCCCGCTCAGAACAGGCGGCTGTGTGCGGTACTGCCCGCACTGTCCTGGCTTTGTCGGCGCTGGATTTGTTACTGGAGATGGAACTCGCTACCCTTGTTCCTTCAGGGCAGTGTTTATTCCACAGGGGCCTGTGACCTGCATGAGGTCAAAGCAAACCCCAAAAGGAGAAATCAGTGATGTCCCAAGCCCCCGTGGAAACAGGCAGCTGTTTCATTGTGCCCGTTGCTGAATGAGACCTTCTTCCAACGCTGCTCCATTGATGGCATCCCCTTTTCCAGAAAAAGGGTTTGCCTGAACCTCTGTAACTCCCAGCGTAGCAGGGAAGGGCCGTGCCAGGGGAAGACCCATTCCATGAGACACTGCCAGGTGAGGATTGCGGCTGTGGGCAGGAGAAGACCTTGGAGCCAGCCAAGGTCAACCCAGCAGAAGGCCCAAAGAGGACAGGGCTAGCAGAAACCCCGCTGAGGAAGAGTTCCTACTGCAGGGGCAGAGATGTCCCCCCTGCCCCAAACAGCCCCGGCCACAGGGAGGGTGAGATCCCATCCACAGACCCCCTCCCTATGTAGGCAGTGCTTTGAGAAGGCTGTGCTCTACCATCTCTGCCCAAGCACTGCTGGCTGTCATCGCAGACACGTGTTTGGAAACAAAACGGTGGAGGATTCAGGTTGTTCACGACCATCTAAGATCGATGCCGCTGCTAAAGGAAACTGCGCAAGTAGCTCATGCCTGCCTTCACCCATGGCTGGAGAGCATCTCCTAGGGGTTTGCGTGCTTGAACCTACACTGGCATGTTGGGCCAACGTCTGCACAGAGCAGCTGGCTTTGGATAACAAGCTACAGCATCAGCTTAATCCTCCAAATATTACCTGGGGACCCCAGAATTTGACCTGCAGGGCCTGGAGGCCCCAGAACCCCTCCTAAAAGATGTGTGACAGGCACCCAGTGATGCGATCACCATATGATATCCTTCCTCTGTAATGGAAACAACAGGAGCTCAATCAGCAGCACTGTGTCCTGTCTTCAAGGTGGGATGCCATTTCTGACAGCGGAAAAAATCACTGGCAGCTGGACGGCAGCAGGTGAAGCGTCTCTTCTCTATCAGGCGGCCCCCACGTTGCCCGGGGTCTGGAGGTTTGACAGCATCCCAGGCCCCATTAGCCGGGCTGCAAACGACACTACGGAGAACATAAACCAGACACATTCCTCCAGCTGAGGCTTTGCCACCTGATTTAGGAGACTGCAAGTGCTACGATGTCAAACAGCAATCCACCGACAGCTTGTGCTGCTGGTGATGGATGCCGGAGCCTGTATTTTTTCTTCAATAACAACTTTCATTAATGGTGCTGGCACGGCGGCTCAGCAAGGAGGAGGGAAGTGGCAAGTGTCCAGGGTGAAAGAGTTCACGATTCCAGTGGGAAAGGGCACCATGTCCCTTGTGCTGGCCATGGAAATGAAGAGGACACGGCTGGAAGGGCCTCCGGGAGGGCAGCAAGTGACCCCCTGCTCCAGGAGGGCATGGGCTCTACCCAGAGCACTTTCAGCAGACATCAAGACATCTGCTTATCTTATTTTTAAACTCTTCCAGTGATGGGGCTGCCACAATCTCCCCAAGCAATCTGTTCCAGTGTTTCACTGTCTTCACGGTTAAAAAGTTTTCCTTATGTCCAATTCAAACCTCCTTTGCTGCAATTAAAGCCCAAAGCATCTTGTCCTCTCCAGAGAGAGAAGCGAGATGGAGTGAAGAGGGATGTAAGCCTGCTCGTTGGTTTGTTTCCCTTGTTTGTTTTATTCCCAGTCAAAAGAAGGAGAGTTTATTTCTCGAAGGAGATGCTATCTCCTGCAACATGCAACTCGGAGAAGTATCTTTCTATTTTTAAAAGTGGGAGATAAGGGTTACATAAAAGCTCAGGAAACCAGTAATGAGAAACAGGGTCTTCGCTTTGTGGGCTCTGTCTCCTACCACAGCTAACTCCCCTGCACCTTTGAGCCCACCTGGGCTCTCCGCAGCGCACCGGTGTGAGGAGGCTCTGCTCGCTGCCCCCCACGCCAGCACAGGGCTGGTGGGCCCTGCGTCCCCCCGCACCCGCAGCATCTCACAAACACGTCAGAGAAATCAGCAGAAACACTCAACCCGGTTATTTTCTTCCTTTCTCCTCTCTTAAAACAGCAGTGGACACAGCAGGCCAGGCCGGCTGGAAAAAGCAGAGAGGACACAGATAACGGGCACCGCGGTGTGTTCCTCACCACGGTGGGTGTGAGGCAGCACCTCCCTGCCTGGAGCCGTACGGAGCAGCGCAGGTCAGGGCTGCCCGCACTGGGATGGCACCGCAGGGCTGCGGGACCCGTGGTGGTCCGCACAACCCAAAGGTCCCCGCCCCCAGGCAGGGCAGGCAGCGGGGGCGCTGGCACACGCAACCCCTCCAGCCTGGGAGCACGCAGCCGGGTGCAACTTTGGGGAAAGGGACCGTTATTAATGTCACCGGCGTGGGATGAAGCGTGGCCTCGCTAGGGCTTGCCTGCAGGCTGGGGCTGCCAGCTCCGGTCCGGTGCTGCCGGGCACGGAGGGCTCGGGGCATGCGGGAGCCAGTCTTGGTGTGAACGGGAACTGGTACTGGAGCCTGCAGGAGCCGGGACCTGGAGCATCTGGTGCCTGGGGAGACGGTGCCCACAGGACCTTGTGGCC